TAAATGTTGGTGGGGATGTGGTGAGAAAGGTACATTTTGGGTATGCATTTTGGGTAGGACTGCAAATTAGAGCAGCCACCATGGAAAGAAGTATGGAAATTCCTTAGAAAACTTGAAATGGAACCACCATTTGATATCATCAATAGATGAATGGATACAGAAAATGAGGTATATATACAGAATAAAATATGACTCAGCCATAAAGAAAAATCAAATGATGGCATTTGTTGTAAATGAACGGAACTGGAGATATCATGCTAAGTGAAATAAGCCAATCCCCAAAACCAAAGGCCGAATGTTCTCTCTGATATGTAGATGCTAACCCAAAGCAAGGGAAGTTGGGGAGAAGAATAATAGAAATCCCCTGGACTGGACACAGGGAAATAAAGTGATGGGAGTAGAGAGAGGACTAGGAGAGACAGTAGAATTAACTTGGCCTAACATTCGTAGCCTTGTATTTGAATACAGAACCAGGATAAATTCACATCATGTACTACAAGAGTGAGATCCTAAATAGAATAGTTTATACTCTAATAATGTATAATTTGCCAAAATACATTCTACTGTCATGTGTTACTAAATAAGAACAATAACAACAAGGGCAGGTGCGCAGAAAACAGTGTCCATAAAGGGAAATCATCGACTTGAGAAAGATGAGTTTGAAAACAAAAATGAGTGCCGGGTTATTTTTCCAGTATTATTTAACTCACTCACTTTTTTGTAGAGCGCATATTCTATTGAGACTCAAGGACATAGATTAAATAAAAAGAGTGATTAATCTCTATCCAAAGGGAGTAAAGATCATGGAAAGAAATAGTGCCTCAGAATCTGGGATACCATGGAAAGGAGTGTCGAGTGGCTGCATAACATTCCTACTTATGGGACCTTCTCTGCATTTTGGAAGCCTATGACTCCTGTGGCCTATGTACCACCCATCCATACACATATACAGTCTATTGCCACCTGGAGGCTGTTAGCAGCTATAACCAGTGCAGCAGGGGAGCTGGCTCCTTATTGTAACTACAGGGGCCACATGTGCTATAGAATCTCAATGTATAGAACCATGAAGAGATATCGAGTCCATAATCCTTATATTTTCCGCATCCTACAGTGGAGTCTTGGACATTCCTCCTGATAAAAATGAGTTCTATGTCCCTAAGGAAATGAATAGATGTCCTTAGAAATTGAGCTGACTGAAGGTTTCCAGCAGCCTCATGCCAACCCAGGTCAGGCTCAGGAAGGAATGGGAGCAACAGGGCCTGCTGCCCACTGCTGTGTTCTCCACACTCTCTCCTTGAAAATTCCTCATTCTCACCACAATCTGCTTCAGCTTTCTCAAAATTTCCTCCATGTGACTGTTTGGCTCCATCACCCCGAGAGCACACCACATCAGACTCCCATCACTGGTGTCCAGATTCTTCCACTCTCCTCCTCATTACCTTCTCTGGTTGTGAAGTTCCCCAAAGATCAACTGTCTCCTCGGGTTTACTTTTATTAAGCTACAGTTGCACAGTGTTACCCCCGCTGGCTCAAACTCCTGGCAGAGAACCTGCTGTTGGGACCACTTGTGTGTGCTGCTGAGCCCAGCCCCACTAGCCTTCTCACTCAATGTCCTGCTCTTAACATGTTCCCACTCTGCTTGTGAAAACTGTATTCCTACATCCCCCTAAATAATTCCATGCTATTTTTCCTTGTCTAGCTATCTCCTCCCTGACTCTCTCTCTGTTTCACTTGTCTTCCAGCATTCAGGTCTTTGTCAACAGGTGCTCATCTCTGCCTACCATGTACTGTGTGTCCCCAAGTCTTGGTTTATACATCATTAATCATCTATCACTTAAGACACTCAGTGAGACACATGATAGACCCTCTTGACCTGAAGGGGAAAATACCTTAAACCAATATACCTGCTTGTGAAAGTAAGAGTCAAACAGAGAAAAAAAAGGAGTTTAGAATTGGAAGGGTTAAAAATGGTCACTGACACAAGAATCTCTTCATGGACTCTTGGCAACTTGGACAGTTTCTTCACAAATGTCTTGTACAGCATGCTTACTGCCAGCCACTCTGCCATTACATAATTTGGGTGGGAAGGAAAACTCCCTTTATATATCCAACCCCTGACATCCTGGCCCATTCCTTTTCATGAAATCCTATTTAGTCTCATAATGTCACAAACAAATCTCCCTCCCTTCAATCTACTTCCTTCAGTTCTTTGAGGCTGGATCCTTCAATCAGTATTGTGTATAATTTCTGTTTCCACTGTGTCCAGCCCCTCCTTCATTTAGTGTCTATTATGAAAAGTGGCCAAATCTATGAAGTCCCTTGGGAAAGTCTTGCCTTCCCACAAGGATATTCCATTTAAACTACCTTAAACTCAGAATGAAGAACTTTGGAGCAGTTTAGTCTCAAGGGGACTTTAATTCAATGTGGACTCACTCTCTCTACCACTCCCGTGAATGACTATAGAGCCATGTCTACCCTCATCTGCATGTTTTCTGGTGCCTGCTTTTAGTAGGGAGGAACCCTGCTGACAATTTTCAAGGTTCACACTTGGAGATCCTCTGCAATTGTAGGAGATATTGGAGCCATGTGTCAAACTCTCAAATATTGTTACATGGTATTACTTGGCAAGGTGGGAAAGTCCTCAACAAAATATCAAGTTGTAGCTTAGTTATACTCATGCTGTTTTTGCAGGGCTTTCTGTATACACAGGTCTGAGAAGAGTGAGAGAAAAGAGTCATGGCTGTGTCCTGCTCACAGTATTCACATTAGGGTCAGTGAACCCACACAGGATGAATATTTGTACAATTAGGATGCTCCTTTTCTTCATCTCAGACTCATGTATAAAGGTGAATGTTTCCAGCTCCATTTGGAGGGAATGGATGAAGCACTGGTTCTTCCCATGGACAAAGTACACTGATTGGTTAATACATCAACAACCCATGGCAGAGGCCTTATGAGTTCTTTGTTCCAGAGAAGAAATATTTCTGTTACTGTTTGAAATAATCTCAAAAACATTTAGAACAAAAAGAATCAGGAATGTATACACCTAAGCCAGCCCAGTCCTTGAAAGATCAGGCTGCACAGCAGTAGAAACACGTTAGCTGAGGAATTAGACAGACATGGGCCCTTTGTTTCCACCAGACTCTGGTGGAGATTTTTGGGCAGGTTAAGGTTAAGTGACCTTGCTGAGTCTCAAGTGTCCTCAGCACTATGGTAGAAACGCCAGCAACTATTGGATAGTTTCTCTTGAGGATTTAATGGAGTAGACTGTACACAGAGCTTACTTGGCAGTACCACAGTTCACAACATGCATTTTATTTCTGTTTCTGAAATGCTATGACACTGAGAATAAATCTTTGCATCACTGCACTTCAATGGAAATGGGAAAAAGAAAGAAGATGGTCACACCATGAAGGCACTTACTGAAGCAAGGGTTGGAAAATAAGTTTTCTCAGCTAATTTTTCTATAAAACATTCTGATATAGTGAAACATCACAGACTTCTTCTTTTCCTACAAATTGACCAATGAGTAAAGACTCCCAAGAATTTCAAAGGTTTACCTGAGGAAAAGTTAAACTCCACTTTGAGTGAGAGGAAAGAATAATTCATTTTTTTTCTCTACATACTCTATGAAGGGCTCATAGGGCTCTTGTTCAATAAGAGTGACATTTCTGGAAATTAGGAAGAATAAATGCTCTGTGCTGTCTGAATAACTGGGTCAAGTTCCCCATCATGTACACTGACCATTGACAATTTACATGAGAACATAACTCTCAGACTGAACATATGATTCAACATATAATCTCCGGAGGAAAAAAAAAAACACTTGTGCTCCTTAAGGTTGAAAACTGCAGCAATCTCCAGAGAAACACAAATGGGAATGATTAACTTAAGGAAAAGCCTTCTCAGAGAAAGTCGAGAAACTAAGTCGGGACTCAAGAACTATAAGTGATTTCACAATGATTTTATAAATCTTCTGTCACATGCAAAGAAGAGAGGAAAGCATTGGTCAACAAATGCAATTTGCAAGGACAATGCAGAAGGACTGACATGACCCCTTTAAAGACTGAGGTCTGGGGCTTGGGGTTGTGGATCACCAGTAAAAGTGCTCACCTAGCATGTGCAAGGGCTTGGTTCAATCATCAGCACTATATATAAATAAAGGTATTCTAACTACAACTAAAAAATAAATATTAAACAAACAAAAAAAGACTGAGGTCTGAACAATCCCTGTTGGAACAGGCTGTAGTAATGTCTGTGAGGTGCTTATAATCCCCTCCTCCTGACTCCAGTCTACCTGCAAATCTATAGCTGGCATGACTACAGACCAGGACAAAAAAAAAAATAAAAAACTGATCAGGCAAGGAAAATAACAAAGCCCCAGATCCACCTGACCTCTGCACCTACTCTGAAACAAAATGGGTCTCCTGGCTCTGTATGCATATGTCTCAGCCTAGACAGTGGAGTTGCGTGCAGAGAATTTGGGCTTTACCAGGGAGAGAAATTGAATTCATCTAAATTATGATAGGAATACTCACTGGCTCGATCCATAGCTCAGCTGACTTTAGGCTCATCTGATGGGAACACAGAGCTCCTGAGTTCTTGTGTGTCAGATGAAATCAGGATGATCAGAGGGTAGAAAATACTTTTCATCCAGCAGGAAGTCATTCTCTTCCTCTTCCTGCAGTTCACTGTTGAGACTGCTGAGACATCTGAGGCAGGGAAGAGCAAAAGATGAAATCACAGTGGTTTAGAAGTTACAGCCTCCCAGCTGGTCCTGATTCAAAGCTGAAGGGTGGAGTCCCAAACAGGTGCCCCCCTTCAAAAATGATCCAGAAAACCATTTTCATCTCATGGACATAGTTTAGGTGCCACGATATGAGAGAGAGAGACCAAGGGCCACCAGTGCCCAGTGTACTGTCCAGATAACAAACTGATGAGGAAGGAGGCTCAACTCCACCTACAAGGTACAGCCACAGAAGGATCACACAATGAGAAGCAGAACAGGAGTC